TATTGTCAAGCATTTACCATCCTTCGTAATTGTGAGCGCGCTGCGGTGGACGCTGCGCGAGTTCATGGCTGATCGGCACACCGCCAGGTGTACGCTGGCCAACAAAAATCCATGGCCTTACCAAATACCCTGCCCGTGACAGCTGTTGCTGCTCAGCCAACTGTTCACAACTGACTATGCAGGAATGTTGAGCATGTCGGCGAAATTTGAGAATTTTGAACCCCCCAATGACGCAGGCCAGCAGGCGAAGAATAGCTTCTGCTCAACGCCTTCCGCCTTTCAATGTTTCCAGCTGCGACCTCAGAACCTCAGAACGAACCATTCTTTCAGCGCCTGCTCTCATTTCCGCTTGCTGTTGTGGCCAGTAATCATTTCCTGTGTGAAGCTGAAAGGGAAGATTCCTGATGCTCTACATTCTTGCTGTACCTTCAAACAAGAAACTACGTTTTATCAAAGTGTCACAGAGCACACAGCACTTCGTACAATGACAGTGCCCTTCAAGCCGTTTTCCTCCTTACCAAACAAAGCGCCCGTGCCTAACCTCCCAACAATGTAAAGGCCGTCATCACAAATGGGATGCAGATAGCCAACTCCTGGAAGCTCGACTTCCACCACTATCCGCAACAACAACCCAACAAACCCTGGAAGCGGTGTGATCTCGCGGTCTTCGCTCGACTTCATCCCTATCCAAGACAAAGTCTTCCACAGCCCTTGATCTCAGTGCTGCAGTACAACAGGTTGCGAGATCCCCTACCGAATTTGTATCATTAAGACCTGATATTTGACAACTGTCAAATGGGAATGCTGTGTACCTTTCGGAACCTGCAAACTCAGAAGGGTGCTGCCGCATGCCCGCATGATTGGCTCCTTCAGCTCTCAAGCACGCCTGGTCCCCCTTGTGGTGGGGATGTTGATGCAGGCTCGCTGGAAGCTGTGCCTGCTGAATCATTTGCGGTAGATGGGCTTTTGTTGAGGTCGGCAAACTCGCGCACCTCTGTTGGAGATGTTGATGTAGACTCGGTGGAAGGTGTGCCTACTGAATCATTCGCGATAAATTGGGGTTCGATGAGGTCAGCGAATTCGCGCACAATTCGGAAGCCAGTTGTCCTGTCAACACCTTTCGGCTCCAGCAGACGCAACATAAGGTCCTTCCATCTCCGTGGCACTTTCGGTCGTTCCAAATGCTGGATGAGAACTTCAGAACCTATGGTGGAATCCAACAGACGCTTTGCAAGGGTGTCATCTCACCCTTCCTCGCCGTAGGGTTGCTGAACTCCCGTGTACAGCTGAAAGAGAAGAGCCCCAAGACTCCACAAGTTTGATGAGTGGTTCAGATTTTTTTGATGCCCCGCAACTCGTCCACGGCATGCTTCCCCGAGCAACAATCAGGTGGAAGAGTTGTGTCCTTGTGCAGGTAAAACAACAAATGCCACACTTCCCCTTTTAACAAAGGGGTTTCCAACACAAAATGCAACGCATCTGATACATTCTGGAGATGAAGGTACACACCCAGAGAAGTGCAGTAACCCTTCACTGCCCTGGAGTGGGTCACCTTCCGTACCGAGACGGTCAACGAGCACGGGGAGTTCACCATGAGCAGTTTTCGTAAAGATACTTTTAGCTGGGTGGCAGGTGGATAGTGGCCTTCGTGAAATTCTGCATGGCAGCTGTTGGAGCAGCTTTGTCTCCTATCCAAGAATACCCTACCTCATCTCACTTATGCGCGTGAAGTGCAGATGCCTCGTCAAAGCCTTTACAAAAGTATGTTAAGACGTTTTCGTTCCCTCTACTGGTCGATGCTGTGTAAGGCATACCCTGGTTGATCATCATTACGCGCGAGAATGGCGGATGTTTCGTCAACGCCTCTGCGAAACAATGTAAGACATTTTCATCCACTCAACTGATGTATTCTGTGCAGAAGGCAGCCCGGCTGTGGCTGGTGGTGCGGTGGTGATGTTCATAGCCGGCAGCTTCACCGGTGAACACAACGGTGCTAAAGTGTACCACGGTTCGAGCTTAGCGGAGGACGGTTGTGAGCTGCAACTGCCTCATGGGCTTAGTGCAAGAAGTCCACGAAAACACCTGGCAACCCCCAAGCCCACAGGCTCCCAAGTCCCCAGGCGTCCTAATCACAGCAGCCCAAGGGAAGCAGGGGGCGCCCTTCTACACGCTGCAAGGCATTGCGCTGCAATTCCCACTGGAAGGCACCAAAAAATAGAATATCATCCCAACGCCCTCCCCACACACCAACGTAACGTTTTACGCAGCACGGGATACACTGTAACCATACTGAAATATAAAATTTGCGCCCTGCGAACGATCTAATGTAATGTAGGACACAAAGGTGGCAGTACGATAAAAATTCGCAGTGCCGAAGTGGAACATATGCACGGAGAGCACTGAATTTACTGAAACAGCAACGCCGTCTTCCAGCGACGCGCGCCTCAAGAACTGGAAATGGTTCACCATTGCTGCCCAACAAGTAGTAAAAAGGATTCATTGACAAAAGAACACTTCCAATGCCATGGAAATACTGCTTCTAAAGACGAGAAACTGGCACATGCTAGGCATACTACTGAGCGTAACACCAATGGTGCTGGCGTCTGCTACACTAATTTCCAATTGGTTCCACGAAATACCCATCTCTCAAGAAATACGAGGTATTTATGAAATAATATAGATCCGTCTAATCGAGTGAAATCCATCTTAACGTTTGGTTTTGCACTAGAGTTGGTACGGACTGTACGCTGTCTTGCTTTCCCATAAGCCCGATGGACTCAGCGAGCGGCGATAGAGATATCGAGACTCCCCACTGTATACTTCTTCTTCTGTGTGAACTAAATGCCGTGGATGTGTGCAGAAGCTTTTATCTCTTTGCTAGTCTTGTTTTTTCGCGTTCATCTATGGCCAAAGATGGGAAGACATCTTCAGTCTAGAGGGACAAGCACAGGAGTTACGTCTGACCCTGACCTCGCTACCAAGCATTTGATGGTGGGTTCACGGAGGGCGTCCTCCAGTTATCCTCTTGGAAGAATTAGCTTGGCCCCCTTGACATTGGTTGTGGCTTCGTTGATCGTGTTCTTCGTGGTCCGTAAGAGCATGGCTCCTCGAGTAGACCCTGTGGATATGGTATATCCTGAAGATTCGGTAGATTTTGTTGGTGCCGAAGGTGAAACTGTCACTAGAACTAGCTACACCACTTCTTCCTTCCTGCCATTTGCTAAGGAGGTGAAGCGGCCACCAAAGCCGACAGGGACGGATGACCTGCCTGCTGGGGAATTCGACAAGCTGCATACTCATTCGGTTGTTAAAGCCAAGCATTATGCTTCTTCGGCCTCTTTATTGTCGAGCAGAATGTATGAAACACATTATGATGGTTGGGGATTGCCTCCACTTGAAGTCTTCGAGAGCACCCTTAATTCTCACCTGCAGGAGGGCAAAAGTGCGCTTGCTGCCTGGGCAGCCGAGTTTTACGCGTCCGATGTATTTGCCCAATCTGTTGAAACTTCCCAGCACGTTGTTTGTGAGGCTCTATGGGACAAAGCTGTTAAGACCTTTCCTGGGATGAACCTGGTGTTGCGAAATGCACGGCCCTTAAAGCTGGAGGATGAAGTCTGGCATCTGCCCCACGTACTGCAGGTCACAACGGTAGCGGCAGCTCTGAAGTGGGGTTTATTGTTACATGTTAAAGATGCTGACACAAACCGGGAATTTTCTCTGCAGATCCCCATGCTTCGTGAAGATATAAGCAAGATATGCGGTGTAGATGAGTTTCTGGGAAAAGCTCGGGAGGCATTTAATAGAGAGCGCAGCGCAGAGATACAAGCCTGTGGTAGCTTGCCTGCCGAACTCACAGGCTCACTGAAGGGTTTCGCCGTCTCATTATACACCGGTGAGATCGCAGGTGTCTCCGGAGTATGTTTCGCAAAAGGAATGTATGTCTTCAATCGCCCAAAGCTACTGGACAAAGTACAGGGTAACCTTAGAGATCTCAAGGTAAGAGCACCGTCTGTAGTAAGAAAAGCTCGGGATTATATTGCTGCGCGTCTGCTGCACATAGTGCTCAAACTTGAGCAGGCAGGCATCGGCCACCTAGCACTTGACTGGGACTCTTTGTTTCTACGTCAAGACGGTGCGTTCCTGTTGGGAAACTTTGGCAGCAGCGCTCCCTTCGGAAGGCCAGTCACCAGCGAATTGTCAAATCTTTCTGACCAGCTGGAACCTGGCATCTTGCTGGCGGGCGACGATATTGGCATATCTCCTACACATGGAACCAACTTGTGGTCTCTTGGAGTCTTGCTTTTCCAGTTGTACACAGGCAAGGACAATCCATATGGGATAGCAGAGGGAACGTCCCGACGAAATGCAGCAGTGCATCTAGCGGAAGGGCTGCTGTCAAGAGATGTACGCTCTCATGTCCTGGTTCATGAGCTGGCTGCCGCAGGTGTACCGTCAAGATGGGCACAACTCATTTTGCGGTTGTTAGAACCACGTAGCGCAAACAGAATAAACGGCTTTGAGGTTACTAAGGAGTTCCCTGACCTTCTTAACCTTATATATCAATGAATCCCGGACACCCCCAAATCCCATTCCATGCAGCCGCGCACGTGGCTTCCCCATTTTATGGGAAGTACGTAACCGTAACAGCCGTAGGAAAACCCAGGAGCCATTGGAGACCCCAACTTCTTTGACACGCGCAGACAAGTACAACTTGGCTAGCGGGCAAGACTCAACTGACCAACAGCAAGGCCACCTACCACCACTTGTTGATTGTGGAAACAAAAGTGCACCCCACGGGCGGGCATCCTTCGAGTTACACAAAGTGTGGTGTTGCTTGTCGTAGTCAAGCCCCACTGAGGGTTGTCATGCAAACGGCTGGATATGGAGACCAAATGCCACCTAGTCAGTATCGTATATTTCCAGGCGAAGACGCTTAGCGCAGGTAGCTTCAAGCTGCTCTTGAGAAGTGCAAACATATGGCTTTACCTGGTTATGTGCATGAGTGTTGCAACTTTTTCATGATACTGTAAGATGTATGGACTTTACATTCATGGGGTTTTTTGTAGGGGAGGGATCAGGGGTCACCGGAGCGGAGTGGAGGACCCCAACGGAAACTCCGCACAGGTTAAGTTGGTTTAACTCTAGTTTCACCCCTGAGAAGAGTAATGAGGCAGGAGGTGGATGGTTTGCACTTGTGTTTTTGTGTTCATGGGTGCCCTGATGCACCCGGATGAGAACCAGGATATCTTCGGCACTGAAGAGCAGTGCCCGAGTGACCTCGTTGGACTTGCCTTTGATTATTTTAGTTTATTCCTTCGTTTGTTGCATAGACACTTGGATATTCCCAGTGTGTATATGCAAGGGTGGAATTGCTCCTCTCAGGAGATCAAGTAATGTGTTTGCGGAAAACATCCCACAGGAGTTGTAGTGCACAGGCACTACATTGTCCACGGTTGCGGTAGCCTACGAGTAAGATGGAGAGTGGGCACAGTGGGATATTCGAGGTCTGAGGTTACCTAGGTTCAACTATAGATAGAATTCAGTAATATTAGTAGGTTTCGGAGCATATTAGAGGTGTAGCATATTAGAGGCCGGGTGCTGAGCAGCAGCAACCAGCCGCCGGGCTATGTGCGCAGGCGCGCAGAAGGACAGAACATAGTTAGGCCATGTAAAGTAACGTAAGATCAATTAGAGATAAATATCTTAATAATTAGAGGAAATTGGTACTCTCGGGAGCAGAGTTTATCCAAAAGAGGCCAGACCCAGCTGCGGTCCGACCGTAGCACCCGGTGCCAGAATGAGCGGCAGGGTGTAACCCGCACCTGGCGCGGAAAAGCAGACACTGATGCAGGAAGGCGATATGGATCGATCCTTCCTTCGGAAGCTCCGTAATTTAGGGATTTTCCTTGGGAATAACAGAGAACTAATGTATTTTGATACTCAATATGTAGATCTAGCACTATAGAGGCCTCATGCCTATTAGGGAGTCATACGTAGCCACGGCAGACGGTCACCGTGCGTACAGGAGTCCAGTGGTGAGGGATTGCAGCAAATAACTCCCTCGGCTTAGGTAGAGGAATTCACTAGGCGGAACGGTTTTTATTATGAAATTCATATTCGTTGAATGGGATTTGTGGACTGGAATGGCCTTAGACCCCAGTTGTGCTACATTCCTCACACGATAACGCAGAATCGACAGCAGGCTTCAGAGAATTGTACTACGGGTTGTCTTTTAACAAAGCCATGCTTAGTTGGCTTGTGTTTGCAGTGCTCCATTCATTGCTTGCTTTCAAAGCATTATGTATCACGTTATTCATTCGCCTTCAGATTCTTGCTGCGCTTAAGGCTGATCAGGGTCATTCCTGCACAGCGAGCGAGTCTACACAGCGGATCTGCCGGGAGTGTTTGTATTAATATTGAAGAATTGCATGTTTTTTCCGTTTCTTTGGTGGTAGCAAATGCTCTACATGCAAAGTGACTTACTTACTTCAGGTCATCTGTAGTTTTGCTGTGATACACTCCGAACTATGATGATGTGGGAACGTCGCCACGGCGAGGAGCACCAGTGGATTGCTCACCCCTGCAGTATGGATAAATCCATTTAAGCATATGCCCCTGTTCAAAACAATGCATACTAGACTACAGTTAATACAGGGACGAACCATGGAAGAACATGGGGACGATATCAGTACTCTTTCTTGTTGGCAGGGGCTCGGTTGTTGACTCTCACGTCCATAGTGCCAGAGACTGCATCCGGCCGACTGCGTTTGTACAATTACAGTGAAGACTGTCGTGGAGCTAATATTTGCGCCACTTCTTCAGTCATGCACCCGAGTTCTAGAACGGAGCGTGAGCAGCAAGAGCGAGCAACCCAAGCCCAGGCAGACACGGGAGAACGTGAGATCACGTCGGCTTCATCTTTAGTAGGAACCGTACCTCCTTCGCGTCCTGAACACCAACTACCTGTTTATGGCATGTGGGGTTCGCCAACGCTTGCTCAATTTGAGATAACGCCGCCTCCAGACGCGAAGCGATGTAAAGAGGAAATTGCAGCCTTCCTTGCACAAGGCACTGTGAGAGAATACTCAGTATCTGCGGGAGAGTCTTACGCACTGTCCACTATCGCCAGAATATTATCGAAGGGCTCCTATATCGGAGTCCTTGATTGGATTTAGTATGCTCTTGACAAACGTGGAGCCCCTGCACTGGATGTAGAAGGCTGGGCACCTGTCCCACCTCGTTCACATAAAAGTACTAGGCAGAGGTTATTGAGCCATAGTGGCGGACGTCAAGGATACAGATAACGATGGCGTGTTTGTGATGCGCACTAACCTACAGACTCTGCACAGTGGAAGAAGCTCGCGCTCAGAAACTGCAATATTCTAGCCTGCACTAACAGCTTTCCAGGCAGCATCACTGAACTGATCTAGACGTCTGGGGCATTTTTCAGAAACTCCGAACTTCGGAATACCTCAAAAAAAAACCGTCGTCCTCTAAGGGACCTAAGGGAACGGACGTTACCTAACGTTGCAAAACTGGAAATGACTCGGAAAACTCCACCTGCTGCTTGCCGAGTGTAGCAATCAAATGCAGAGGACGGCAAACTCAAGCTTGCCGCAAACACTCACAGTGCATGCTTTTGCACCTTGTGTGCGCACGCCAATGCGTGCCTATTGTCAAGCAATTACCATCCTTCGTAATTGTGAGCGCGCTGCGGTGAACGCTGCACTAGTTCATGGCTAATCGGCACACCGCCAAGTGTACGCTGGCCAACAAAAACCCATGGCCTTACCAAATATCCTGCCAATGGCAGCTGTTGCAGCTCAGCACACGTTGCATAACTGACTAAGCAGGATTGTTGAAGCGGTCGGCGAAATTTGAGAATTTGGAAACCACGAATGCCGCGGGCCAGCAGGCGAAGAATATCTTCTGCTCAACACCTTCCGGCTTCCAACGCTTCCAGATGCGATCTCAGAACTTCAGAACGAATCCCTTCTCTCAGCACCTGCTCTCACTTCCGCTTGCTGTTGTCGGCAGTAATCGCTTCCCTTGCGAAGCTGAAAGAGAAGATTCCCGACGCTCTACATCCTTGCTTTACCTCCCGACAGGAAACTACGTTGTACTGAAGTGTCAGAGAGCACACGGTTCTCGGTACAATAACAGACTGTCTTCATGCCGTTTTTCTTCTCCCCAAACAAAATGCCCGTGCCAAGGCCCCCCAATATGGAAAAGCCGGCGTCATGGAGGGAAAGGGGCTCAAAACTGGGCTGCAGATGGGCGATTCCTGGGGGTTAGACTTCCAGCACTATCCGAAACAAACGGAAAGCGATGTAGCCTCGCTCTTTTGCTCGATTCCCCTTTACCCGCATCCAAGACAAGTCCACCACAACCTCGTCCATCAATGCTGCAGTGCAGTGAGTGGCAAGATCAACTACCCAATTTATATCATTGAGACCTGATATTTGACAAGTGTACAGTGCGACTGCTATGTCCCCTCCGAAAGCTGCAGACTCAACGAGATGCTGCCGCAAGCCTGCAGCACTGGCTGCTTTACCGCCACAATGACCTCCCCCAATCATCGCTATAACTCCTCTCCCCTCCCAGCAACCCTGGTTCTACTTGTGGTGGGGATGTGGGCGCAAGCTCTCTGGAACCTGCGCCCGTTGAATTAATCATTTAGGGCAGACTGGGGGTCGACAAGGTCAGGAAATTCGCGCACAACTTCGTCGCCAGTTATCCTGTTTTCACTGTGTGGCTCCAGCAGGCGCAAAAAAAAATAAGGGCTTTCCACCTCGAAGGGGCGTCTGATCGTTTCAACTGCGGTACTAGGAAGTCAGAACGTATCCCGCTCTCCAACAACTGCCTTGCAAAACTATCTGGTTCATCCCACCAGTTCGGCCCTTGCAGCTCGCAGTAGGGGTGTTCATATCCCGTGTAGAGATGAAAGAGGAGAACCCCGAGGCCCCACAAGTTTACCTCAGCATCAGGCACAAGTTTATCGTCGTCAGCAAAGCAGGTCATAAGACTAGGTTCTATCGTCAATTGCAGCATGCCGATTTGTTGGTTTTTCTCCTCTCCAAAGGGAGCAGCGCTGCAGAAATTTCCCGCGCTGCAGAAATTTCCCACCAGGAAAGAGCCGTCTTCACGAAGGAAGATGGAATTCCAAGCAAGCTGCATATGACCAACTCCTGAAAGCTCGACTTTCAGCACTATCTGCAACAAACGATAAGCGATATAGTCCCGCACGTTCTGCTCCATTCCCCTTGCAATGGATATCAGACTGCTAAGGTCTCCCACAACCTTTTCCATCACTGCTGCACTATTAAATATCTTGAAAACCCCTTCCGAATGAATATTATCCAAACCTAGCATTTTGCCTACGTAGTACGAGACTGCTATGCCCTTCTGTGAGGCCGCCGATTTCGCTGGAATGCTGCCGCACGCTTGCAGGATTGTCTTCTTCTCCTGCTCAACCGCCAGCTTCACTTACCCATCCTCGTCGGAGCCCTCGAAATCGCTATTACGCATGATGGGGATACTAACGGAAAACTGTTCTCTAGTCTCAACGTCTTCTGCATTCACCAGCAAATTCCAGCGGTGATAACCCAATATCCTGGTAACGAGCAGATTCTGTTGAGGCAAAGACCCCTCTGTAGCGCTCCTGCTTAATGGTCTCGAATTCCGTAGGGAAATTGTCATTCCAACCAAGGAGTCGCTCGAGCCGTTCGGAAGAGCCCGAGCAAGTGCAAGCTGGAAAGGCTCAGCTGCGTCTTCTTCGGGACCGCCGGAGAGCCCAGAGGCCAACGCGGCTAGTAGCCTCTTGCCCTTTTCTAGCGACGTTGGAAGCACTTGTTCGAAGTGTTCAAGTGTGTCTAGTCCCCAATCATCATGCTCTTGGGCTTTCTTCCCTACGGCATCACTGATGCGACTCGGTACGGCACGAGAACGGAGGCCTCTATGCGCAACAACGAGAAACACTAAGCCCGCAACCAGCAAAATCCAAAGCTGTATGCTAACTTGTCTTAGCAATAAACTGCCGGCAGCTTCTCGCACATCCAGCATATAAGGGGGTTAATCTTTGTTGGGATCGGGATCCGCCGAAACCGTCTTCTCAACGGTACCTTCGTCACCCTCCTCCACATTTGGCGACATAGGACACCGTGAAGAATAAATTGGCAAAGTTCACAGAAAAAGGAATATGAGGCATTGTGGGGACAGATCATATTTTTACTTCTGGACGAGGGCTGCGGACGGGAGCATGCATCCCAAGCCGCGTGTTACGGATGAGCTGTAATGACCATAGCCGCCTTACTCCGCAGCCACCCTGTTTCATCCTCACATTTTATCCAGTGATTAGTGCTGGTAGTGCTTGTAATGTAGAGTTAGTGTAGAATAGTTAATGCTTGCTTCCTGGAAATCCGGTCGAGCCGCATACCACGCGAATTTGTAATCCTTGTAGCGTCGTGAGTTGTTGGGAAGTGTCTGGGAAATGAACACACGAACCCCTACACGGTCCCATTTGACGAACGGTATGTACGCAAAAGCTTTCAGCAAGTGCCTACAGTGTTTGCACATAACGGCCAACGAAGTAGGATTGTGCTTGTTTATGGGGCTGTTTTGCACCTAAGTGTATCAAGATCCGTAGGAACCCATAGCAGAATGCCTCATCTCCCGCAGCTATAAGCTCTTGAGTCGCTGGCATTAGGACGCCTGCAACCTGGGGAAGGATGCCAGCTGCATATGAGGAACTCTCAACAGAACAACGACTCGGTTTCACCTCGCGATAGTTCTCGGTTAAGATACAAGGCCCTCGCTACACTTGGAAGCACTGCCTGCATCACACGCTGCAGGTGCAGGCAGCGAACCTCAACCCTAGAGCAGGTCGGCCGTGTATAGGCAAGTGTATGGCCGAATGTGTGTATTCCCAAAATCATTCTCCTATCTCAGCCGTTTACTCATCTTGCAGAATTGAGATTGATCTGATCTCTGGTGGCAAGACGACCAGATGGTTGAAGAGCCGACTTGAAGCAAGCACAGTTCCCTCATCCAACGGAGAATAGTCTTTCAGCAATGCAATTAATGAAGACTGCCTCACATTTTGCCAGCCATCAAGGTATGACGGTCGTCTTGATCCGGTGGCAGTGATGAAGCTTCGTGCCCCATTAGGATCGTAGTTTCGCCTACAAGAAACATCAGCAGAATTACAGTTGCTATTCGCATATCCGTTATCACAAGGATAGACACGTCGTGATGGCTGTATCTAAGCAAGGGCCCTGTTTTACTGTTGTACCGCAGCACGTCTGACCAATGGAAGGCTTTCGGCAGGTGCTGTAATGTAGGATCAATGATACGTCGTCAAGAAAATAGGCTCTGATGGTACTGAGAAATCCAAGGAAGGGCATCTGTAGATGGAACATTATATCCAGAAGGGGCAATGCAGCTCCCCAACCGCACCTTCCTCTGATCGATGCTGTGAAGCAGGCGGCCCAGAGGTGGTGGTGAGGTTCACAGACGGTAGCTTCCCTGGAAAACGAAATAGAGCTAAAGTGTACCGAGGCTCGAGCTTGGCGGAGGACCGTAGTGGGCTACAATTGCCTTACTAGCTTAATGCAAGAACTCCAGAAAAACAGCTGATACCCCGCCAACTAAAAGTCTTCCAAGTCCCCCAGCCTCATAATCATAGCAGCCCAAGGGGATGAAGATGGGGAGTGAACGCAGGTGCCACCCTTCTATACAGGCCACAAAGCACCGTGCTGCAGTTCCCGCCGGAATACACCACAACATGCAATATCGTCCCAGTCCCCATCTGGTGCATACTCATTCACTACTAAGCCCTTATTTGGCCTTCATCAGCTAGCCTATACACGCGTTAAGATTATCCTCCACTCCGTTCCACACAACATCGTACCAGTTGAATTCTACAAGGCCGATGCACTTGCCGAATCTGCTGAGACTCCCCAGGGTGTTGTTTGTGAGGTTCTATGGAGCAAAGCTGTTAACACCTGTGTTCAGATGAACCTGGTTATACGATGTGTACGGCCGTTGACGCTAGAGGATGAAAGCAGAAGTTTGCCCCACGTGCTGCGGGTCACGACAGTAGTGGCACCTCTGAAGTGGGGTTTATTGTTGAATGTTAAAGATGCTGACACTAATCGGGAATTTTTTCTGCAGATCCCCATGCGTCCTGAGAGTGTAACCAAGATCTATGATGTAGATAAGTCTCTGGTTGTGGAGGCATTTAGAGAGCGGATCCCAGGGATACAAGCCTGCGGTAGCGTGCCTGCCTTACTCACAGGCTCTTCGCAGAGTTTCACAGTCACGCTGTACACTGGTGAGATCTTATGTGTCTCCCTAGTAGGTTTGGCGAAAGGGACGCATGCCGTCAATCGCCTAAGCTGTTTGACAAAATTTAGGAGGGTATTGGGCAAATTACAGTTAACCTTAGAGGTACCAAGCAAAGAGCATCGTGCGTCGTGAGAACATCTCGTGAATATATTTCTTCGCTTTTTCTGCAGGTAGTGCTCAAACGTAAGCAAACAGGTATAGGCCACCTAGTACCTGACTGGGATTCTTTGTTCCTACATGAATGTTCATGGCCTGGCTGCCTCAGATGTACCGTCAAGATGCAGACAGTTCATTCGGCCGTTGGTAGAACCACAACCAGAATAAACGGCAGTGATATTGTTATTAGGAGGTTCCCTGGCATTGTTAGCCATCCAGAACAATACATCTCCCATCACAAAAAACTAAGAATAATCGGTATGCCCTACGCTGCCGCGCACTTGGCTCCCCCAATTTGCTGGGAACCGTAAGCGTCGATGGAAAAAACGGGGGTCACTGGCGACCCCATTTGATTTGCGGCGCGCATGCAAGTAGAACCTGGCTAGCGGGCAAGACTCAACTGACCAACTACAGGGCCACCTCCCACCAATTGTTGTTTCTGGAAACGAAACTGTACCACATTGGCTGCATCCTTCGAGTTATACCAAGTGTGCTGTTGCCTTTTGTAGTCATGCTCCACTGAGGGTTGTTACGCGCAAACAGCCGGATATGGAGATCAAATGCTACCTAGTCAGTATCATATAGTTTCTGGCTGAGACCTTTTGCGCAGGTAGCATGAAGCTGGTTTTGAAAGCGCATGCGTATGGCTGGAGCCGGCTACATGCATTCCTCTTCCAACCCATGAGTGATACTGTACGGCTTATGGATTTTGCATGCATGGAGTGGTTTGTAGAAGAGGGGCGTGGCGTCACCAATACGAATAGATATCCTCAAACGGGAACCCCAAACCCTCAACCCTCAACCCCATATTTGGGGTTGAGGGTTTAACGTCTAGGGGGTGGGATTCATCCCTCGGAAGGCTACTGGGGCGGGAGACAGATGGTAACACTGGTGTTCTTGTGTTCATGGATGCCCTGTCCCATCTGGCTGAGAGCCAGGTATCTACGGCACTGAAGAGTAATGACTGACCTCCATTCTGCGGAGGTTCTTACTCTGGTTGGACCTACCTTCCCCTAGACTAGTTTATTCTTGCGTTGGCTGCAACAACACTTGGTCACTCGCAGTGGGAATATGCAAGGGTGGAAGCGGTCCTCCCAGCAGATGAAGTTCTGTAACTCCGGCGTCAAAGCAGAAGGAACGCGCTGTGGGGGCCCAGTGTGGAGAGATTGCAGTCTACTCCTACGGCATAGGTTGGCAAGCTCACTAAGCAAACGATTTAAAGCCGTTTATGATGAACATCACATTAGTTGCATGGAATTTTGGTTCTGGAGTGCCCTTGGACCGAGGTGGTGCAATATGTTGCTAACGGTAATACAGAATCGAGAGCACCCTTCAACGAATCGCATCATGGGTTGTTCTTAAAAAAGGCCATGCTTAGGGGGTTTGTGCCTGCAGTGTCTCATTCATTGTTTGCTTTCAAAACGTTATGTAACACATTATTCGTTTACGTTCAACTTCGTGCTGCTGGTGAGAAGTAGTGGTCCTTCCTGCGCAGCGAGCGCGTCTGCAGGACCACCGGAGCTATCGTGAGTGCAGGTGTTAATATTGAAGAACTGCGTGTTTCTTTCCTTGCCTTTGCTGGTAGCAAATGCTTTTCATGAAAAGTGATTTATTTACTCCAGTGGTTTGTGGTTTTCCCTTGAGACCCTCGGAATAAAGATGATTGGGCAACCTCGTCCTGAGGAGGGGCAGGCAACGCTTGTTCCCCCCTCCAGTATGGATAAATCCATTCAAGCAGAGGATCCTGCTGAAGAAAATGCATATACGACTACAGTCAATACAGGGACAAAGCAACGCAGAAAATGGGAACGATATTTCCTGTACTTTTTGACGCTGGGGGTGGCAAGCGCGTTGTTGTTTACTCTCGACTCTACAGTGCCGGAGACTGCATCCCGCCGGCTGCCTTTGTATAAAGACAGTGGAGTTTCTCGCGGGGCGTATCTGAGTGTCACTTCTCCAGTCATGCCTTCGAGCTCAAGAGTGGAACTTGAGCAGCAACAGCCAGCACCACAAGCCCAGGCAGACCCGGGAGAAAGTGACGAGGGCACGCCGCCTTCATCTTCGGGAGGCACCGTACCTCCTTCGCGTCCTGAAGACCAACTGCTCGTTACCGACATGTGGGGTCTGCCAATGCTTGATCAATTTGAGAGGACGCTGCCTTTAGATGCGAAGCGAGGTAAGGAGGAAATTGCAGCCTTCCTTGCAAAAGGCCCTTTGACCGACGATTTAGTATCTTCAGAAGAACTCGACGAACTGTCCACTGTCGCCAGAATATTATCTAAAGGTTCGTCAGACTCCCTGGTTGGAATAACCATACTTTTGGCGAACGTAAAGCCACTGCACTGGGGAGAGAAGGTCGGGCATCTGCCCCGCCTCGTTCACATAAATGAAGTAATAGGCAAAGGTTATTCAGCCATCGTGGTGGAAGTCGAGGATACAGATACCCATGATGTGTTTGCGATGCGCATTATCCGGCAACCTGCAGAGGCTGCTCAGTGGTTTCAACAAGATGAATCTTTTATTGCAGAGATACAGCAGGAGCTTACCTTGGAGGAGGAGGGAGCGAGGCAGCTATGCGGCGTCATTCCAGCAAGTATGGTGGCCTCAAAGAAGGGCGTTGCCGTTCCCTTGTACAGTGCGGATATTGCAGGTGCCCCCGAAGCCCAGCGTGTCGGCGATCATTTTATCTTCTCACGCGTACAGTTAATGGAAAGGTGCTCTGGGGCTTTTATTGACCTTTATATTCGGGCTGAAAAAGTCGTGGAGAAAGCGCGTGATTACATAGCCCGCCGCTTGTTACAAATTATTCTCAAATTTCAACAGGCAGGTCTCAGCCACAACGACCTAAAGTGGGACAACATGCTGCTGCGCCCAGATGGCACATTGCTCATCGCGGATCTGGGTTCCGCCCTTCCGTTCGGAAGTCCATGTAGGCAGCTTACATTTTTTACACCGCAATATAGGGAGCCGCAGCTAGCATTGCAGCAAGATCCAGGAGCGTACGAGAGCGGGTTCACCATCCCGCAAGCCAGCAGCGACTTGTGGTCCCTGGGAATACTCCTGTACGAACTGTTTACAAATGAAGTACAGCCATACGGAGAAGTGGAAGGAAATAGCGTGGAAGATAAAGCGATGCTTCTAGCGGAATGGCTTATTGAAAACCAAACCAGATCAGCCTCTCTCGAACCCAGCTTAGAGGCTGCTAATGTCCCAGACCGGTGGATGCAACTTATTCTAAGATTGCTGGAGCCCAGTAGGTCGCATAGAATAACAGCCTGGGGTATCGTAGAGGAATTTCCCGACCTTGTACATAATCCACAATAGGCTGCCTGTTCTCGTTTTCAAGATTATGCTGAAAGCGGCACCCAACCATCCAATGCCTACATGAAGGGAGTACAATTCCGCTTGATCTTCAGTTATCCTCAGAAGTATAACAGTGTAGATTGATGCAGTTGGTTCCGTATGTTTGTTGCCGTCCCTATAGAAACTCACCTACAGACCAAGAAGACCAGACAGTGCACTCGAGAACTTGCTTTGTCTGCTTCGCTATTGCAACTGTCTCTCCTGCACCCCACTGCACTAAACAGGATCCTCTGCAGGCTTCATGTTCTAAAAAGGGTGCAAGCTGTGCATTTCGTAAATTCGCAGTAGAGGTGTATAGCCAACCGTATCATGTGGAGTTCACTCCACATAATGTAGGTTTGCAGGATGCCGATCGATTCCAGATGCAAGTCGTTCGTGTGTTCTGCTTCGTTGTGCGTGTTGCAATCTGAGTTCCTTTTATCACATTGTTACCGCTTGCTTTTCGTGAGTGAAGCATTCAATTCGTGTCAAGTTTTCAATAAGTGCCCACACCTCGCTCTCGAGCGTAGTGAGGATTAAAGCAACAACTTCTGCTCTTGACTCTGAAGCTGGGCCATATTCAACTATCAATACCAAAATATCTGACGGTCTCGCGGATGATTAGGTTCTGGCAGGCTTTATCAAGCTGTGAAGGAGAGCCAGGTTTTCTTTTGCTTTGTGCAGACTTTTGCAGCATACCCGATAGATATAGAGGATGCACAGTTGTGGACGTTGACGCACTACAGGAACCACGACCTTCCACTTCTTCCTACGTAGTCTTTATGCGCTCCCTATATACAATTCTTACTCATAGGTCATTATAGTGCACCCGCAGCTGTTTTAACCCCGAAGTTGCAGTGCTGTGAATGCGGGCGCTTTCGATGCACGCTCCTTTCCGGTGCAGAAGCCGAACTGCGGATACATTATGCATTTTTGAAGGCTAGGGAACTGCCAGTATTTTTCTCCTGCACCACACGTTGGATTGGCTTTACGTGGGAGCCCTATAAGAAGGCAAACTCTGCGAGGCTTTTCGATCCGTGGTAGTCAAACCATGTCCTACGCACCCCGTGTCGCTAGGCAGCGTCTTAAAATGCGCTGCTCTGCAGAATTCACAGTTGTGTGGAAGTTTAGTCCCACAATATTGGCGCCTCAACCTAATCTGTGGTGTATAGTTTGTACTTGGGTTGACATTGGATTGCTTAGTTTTCTCGTGACTCGGCAAGTAGTTCTCATTCGGGGTCATTCACGCGTAAGGGATGGAGAGGAATGGAATGATGGCTTGAACATTCGTGGATTCAGTGAGATACACTCTCAAAGTCCTAACCTGAACCAGGAGAGAACAGCAACAGTTATCGTGGCTTTATTGCTGTGGAGGAAGCTTGTGGTGACCGCACAAGTGCCTGTCTGTAGAAGCGACGAATCTTTGTGTACGAACAGACATTGTGTTCGCGTTTCGACACAATTATCCTTATTCCCCAACTATCTACACAATATGAAAAAGGAAAGAGAGGTTATTTCAGCACTGGAGAAGGGTGATCCTTAAATTCACCGTCATGCTGCGGGCCATACCTGGTGGTCACTTCAGACAACACCCTTGAGACACCATCCAAAAACATCCATTATAGAATATTTTCTCCCTCTACCTCCTCTAGATAAGATAAAAAGTGTGTTTTTTACTTTTCTTATGGGGCCTCACCTATATTAGCTGCACGACAGCTACTGGACCCTCCCGCAACAGCTCTCCGGACGCAGGCACCGATAGTGGGAATGTGGGAGTTCCGTCATGGAATGCCACACTATCCGGCACAATATTCGGTGCAAAAAAACATCACGTGCTCATTTAATTAGGTAACACTGACAGATGGCCAGAGGCTTTCTCACGGGGAGATTCGCTGTCACCATCAGGCAACCGGCTGCTCACCCTGTCAGCGCCTGTTCCGTATTTCCGTCAAAGTCTTGTGTTGAGTCGAGATGACTCCCACTGAATGTCCATTTTCCGTTAACGTATCATCCATTTTGAATTTTCTTTCTTTTAGTTCGAGATTGGACATGCTCACTTCCAGTATTCACCCCGCGGTGTTACTCATTGATCGTCACAGAGGGTCTGTGTCGTGCACCCTCTAAAAAACCCTTTTTGGTCTTCTTCATGCAGAATTCCTTCTTAAAGTATCGGTTACAGGCTGTAGCCCAACCCTAAGACACCCTTCATACATCAGCTGTGCCTGGAAAGCCCTAGGCGAAGGCTATCTGCTGCCGTTTGTCCTCGTCCTGTCTTGGAACACTGCATCCCTTTCTGTTGCTGCAGGGCAGGAGAACACCCAAACTGCGTTCAAGGCCCCAACGGGCTTATGCATCCTCCAAGGCGCAGGATCGAATCGTGACACAGGATCCCTTGCGGCCTCTAATGCGAACACGAGTGCTTCAGAAATGCTACTTTGGAGCCCTGCAGGAGCGCGCCCTAAGGTATCAGGCCCAAAGGCTCCAGATCAAACACATCACACATCAACTGCAGGAGGAGGTGCCAACACCCGCGGAGTGCAGGTGGGAGTGCATGAGCCTCTGTCGTTCTATGGGCATGTCCACATCGCAGATCCAATGCCAGTAGCCGAAGTCCCCATGTGGATATGGTAAGGCATTACCCTCGGTAACACTGTGGCCATAGCAGTAGTGCGCGCAGGCTAGGCAGCATCGGTCGGATTGAAGCTGAGGCAGGCAGCTAAACCCAGCTTGCTGTCCTACAGGCTGAAGCGTCGCCTTTCAGATTTCTGCTGAGCAAGCGAAGGCAACTCCAGGAACACATGGAGGCAATTAATGGCCTCCCGTGCACAAATGAACGCATTGTCGTGTATCAACTTGCATACTACGCATTCGCACGACAAGCACAAACGCGTAGCCCCACTGTGCCCCAAACAACTGCATACTCCCGCACAGACACACACAAACGCAGACACACACACACACACACACACACACACACACACACACACACACACACACACACACACACACACACACACACATATGCTGCCTGTGTGTTCTGCAGGACTTCATCGAGTGCCATATGCGTTTTGCTGCTGCTGTTATGGGTGCTACACCAGCGGCGGTTTTCTGTAGTGGCAGCACAGTTACGGCTTATGCAACGGCGCTGCTTCAGCCCACCAGCTGCACTTTATATGAGCCTCGTTTACTCTTTCTTCCCACTTTCTGGAGCCATTGCATGGTGAGATAGTTCAGCAACGGAAGAGGTAGGAGTCGCTGCACCACCGATTGCAGCGGCGCTTCATCCACGAATGCACGAGATATCATCACCCGCATATCCATTGATTTGTGGTGTCCCTTCGCCGCTGCACATCTGTACATCGCAAGCTGCTTTTGTCTGTTCAGGCTCTCCCTTTTGGAGCCCCGTGTAGGCTTACTGCTGTCGCAGCTTCGGTCGGCTTGGGAAGTTTGCTGCTTGCATTGTTTCATGCTGCTAATGCTGCACCTGATGGGTGGCCCAGAAACAACGCTGCTTCTAGTGCAGCAGCAACACTTGTTACCGCCCTCCGAAAGCAATGGCAAAGCCCTCGACGAAACGAAGGGAGTCTTGATCCCGACAGGCGTTGATTGGGGAGGGAATCGGGACCGGAGGGAATTGCCAACTTCCTTGCAGACGGAACAGGTCGACGCCACGCCGGAGGGAGAAATACGCGACTTGGGAATTAGGCACGAACGCAAAACAGCGGTTTGTTGCAGTCTCAGCCAGTCGATTAGCAACAGCAACAGCAACAGTAGAGGCAGCAGCAGTAGTAGCAACAACAACAACAATAACAATAACAGCAACAACAACAGCAACAACAGCAGCAACAACAACGACAACAGCAGCAACGGATTCACGGGGGTACACGATAGTGAACACAGTGCAACCAGGTTGTACCGCCGCGGCGTTTCTGCCCCTAATGTACTTGATACAGCAGTTGCACTGCCAACGGAAGCAGGAGGGGGAATACCAGCTGCAAAAGCGGTGAAAGGAGAGCTAGAATTGGTGATGAATGGAGTGAGGCAAGGGGTATGCCAAAATGTTGCGTGCTCCTGCAGCGATCCCGCACAACCCGATTCACAAGATCCTGCAAAGGCAACGGAAGCAAAAACGAGAGGAGGATTTCCTGGAACGTCAGAATGTATTGCGGAGCCTGCGACGACATCTCCAGAATCAGGTGTTGCTGCCGCGTATTGTGTCACAGGCGGCATTGCCCTGGGGGCCCCAAAGAACCCCCACTCACCTAACTGCTGGTGCTCAGTTACGACTGCCGCTGGTCAACAAAAGCGCATCAGATGGGCAAGGGTTAGGAGAACCAAGTGCTTTAGCAGCAAGTGCTGCCAAAGATACAACAAAACCGTGGAATGCTCGCACTGCAGTGGCGAAAGCCGACTTTCGGGGTCCAAATGCAGCAACCATAGAAGCAACAACCTCCGGAACGACAAAATCAGCGGTTTCACCGACTCTGCTGAGCCACAGACCTACTCTATTTGGCGTCGCTGTAGAGAAAGGCTCCATAGGCAGCGCTTGAGGCTTGGAGCTGCCAACAACCGCCGAAGCAGCATGCCACCATTTGGTCCAGCAGTGGTAGCCTCAGCGAAAAGAAGTGATGAAGCAGATAGATCTCCATTCGAGGGAGATGCACTCCTCCCACTTCGCAATGTTGCTCCTGCAGCTGCTGCGGCTGCCCCTGCTTCTCCTGCTTGTGCTGTTGACGCCACCGGGGTGACCGAACTTCAATTCCAGCACCAGCGACAGTCGCACAAGAGTTCAGAACGAGCGAGAACAGAAGGCAGCGACACAATTCACGTTGTGGAGGATAGAGAAGCTGTTACCGCTGCCGTTGATGCTGCCGCTGCAGCTGATAGTGCCAGCAGGCGCAACATCCATCCCGTGGTTAGAAGCCCCTCTTTTGCGTCTCCCACAGCCGCTGCAGGTGTTCGACGACAGCAGCAGGGGCACCATAAACTCCAGCTGCAGCAGCAGAGGAACAGCGCCTTGCGGCTGAGCGTTGCAGAAGCAAGGGCTTTGGTGTCGGGAGCACCAGTACCTGGGAGCACTTGCAGTACTACTGTAACCTCACACGGGTCTTCTCCGGGTGCGTTGCTTGCTCTTGCTCAAGAGGACGAGCAGTCGGGTCTTAGTTCAAGGAATATTCACCGAAAGGCAACTAGCCTTGATATGCAGGTGCAGTCACTGCCTATCTCCACTGCGGACGCTGCCTCGCAGCACGAGAAGAAAGACAATCACAGGGGAGCAACGGACAGGAGAATTTGGTTCGTACCACCGCTTTGCTGCCTCGCCTGGAATACGGAAGCCAGGCACTTCTCCGCGGTGAGATATTTTTGACCGTGTCCATGCTGCCTCTGCTGTTGCGTTTTCTTCAGCTGCCATACAGATGCTGCTTCAGTCGCCTGTGGCGGTGTCCCTGCTAAAGTAAATACAGCTGTCGGCTTACCTGTACTGCATGCTTCCAGTGCATTCGATGCTCGTGAACCTCTCTCAAGTGCTGCTTCGCATCCCTGGGTTTTCCAAGGAAGTAGTTGTCAGTGTGTTTGTTCAGTGGGACCTACGCATGAGCTACCGATGCTTGCTTCCTTTCACGGTGCTGAAGTTGCTGCGAGTCTTGCTATGTTACTTGCTGTCAACTTTAATGCATATGGGGAACGAAAGAGAGAAGGCTGTAGCAGAGGCTCGCATTCCTACGGGTGCCCCAGCGGCTCATGAGGGCGGATTAAGCCATCACCAGGTGCTGCAGAGGCTGCTGCAGCTGTGCTGCTTCATCTCTCTAATTGTTGCCATGTGGGGCCTTGCTGTCGTCTTCGTTGCAACGCGACCTTTGCTGAAACCCTTTAACATAGGTCAGAATGACACGTGTGTGGCGTTTGGAGGCCTTCGGCTTCATGACCATGTCCCCGCATCTAGGGCTTTTAGTGTATTATGGCATTGCTTGCATACTACGAGCTCTCCTGCTGCAGATTTCAACAACACTACAGGAAAATCCATTGCCGCTCATGCGTGTACTCCTCAGGGTGGAAATTCACCTGCCTGAAGGCCCTGGTTTTTTTCATACAATTGCTGGAGCTTGGTGCGGAAGCGGTGCAGCCCATAGCTCGTGCTACTGTGTCCGATACAGATGGCGATGCAGCAGCATCGGCGGCAGCACAGAGAGTGTACGTCTTTACCTTTCTGGAGCTTCTTGGGTCCGCCATATGTGCTGTGATGGCTACCTGGGCGTACAAGCCTGGCGACTTGATCCGTGCACACCAGCGCTTGCTTCTGCTGCAGAAGAAGCTCCCCCTGGGGGCTGTCCCAGTAGTCGAAGAAAGCGGCAGCTGCAGCACGAAGTACTTCCATCGCAGGCTCATTTCTGTGCCTTTCACCAAGTTAATAGCGGGTGCTAGAAGATGCAGCTGCAGATGCTTCCGCGGTGCCACAGAATAAAGCATTAGGCCTTGGCAGCCCTCAAAAAAGCTGGCTCTTCGATTCCGTACACAAGAGGCCTTCCACTGAGGGCGCTGAGGGCGCGAACAATTGGCAATTGCAGCGAAAAGAGCTGCACAGGTAGCAAGTGCTGCCTCCTGTTTGGAAGTTTGTTCGTTGGAGCTTCGTCTTATGGCAAATGTAATTTCTGTTTGGTTTGTGCATGCCTCCGGTGCAACGGACTACTCGTTTCAATTTAGAGTCGAGGTGATGTTCGCCAAGAGATGGAAACACGCCCTGACCAGCTAGTAACACTGGAGGGGAAGTGAAACTCCGTAGAGCAGTTTGCGCACGACATGCCCAGTGGGCGAGCACACTTGAGTTCCTGTCTGTGTTGCTTGCTGTCCTCAACTTCAACTTCACGCTCCCCTTCTAGGTCTACCGAGTATTCGGAGGGCTGAGATCAATGAACATCGTCTGTTATACCCAATAACTCCAGACAAACCAGTGATTGCTGTTGCTGCTGCTGCCATAGTTGAACCAGATGATAGACTTGCTGCTGCTATGCTACTTCGAGCTTGCTGCCTCACTCTACCTAGGTGAAAGGACAGTTGCTGTCTCCTTGTTCGGCAATGGAGTATTTCCCCGCCGTCTAGTTGACCCCGTTTTGTGACGCATAAGTCTGTTTCTCTGAAAGCCATTGTTAATGCGCCTGCAGCTACTTCCGCTAGCGTCACTATTTGTCCAAATACAGCTGTACAGTGTTTCCGTTTTGCGCTACATCTAGAAGAGCTGTGGACTAAAATAAAACTATTCCAGCGAGCTCAGCCCTAGGCACAGAAACAATAATTATTCAGCAGCTACTGCTGTTGCCCATCCTGCTCCATTTGCAGCAGAAAATGTACCGAAACCCGGACCAACATAAAAGGCTGTCTTACCTATAGGACCTGCGTTTGTGACTGTAATGGCTGCTGCTGCAGCTGCTGGAGTTTCTGATGCTGCAGCTGCTGCTGTTGCAGCTGGTGGAGGTGATGCTGCAGCAAAGCTCCCTGCACCTGCTGTTTCTCGCTGACATGGGCTAGTTGCATATGGAGGAGCTGTTGTTGCTGCTGCTGCATGCGCTGATGCTGAGTTTGTTGCAGTTGCTGTTCTTGAGCCCGTAGCAACAAGTCTTGCTGCATTGCCACTTGCTGCTGCAGTTGCTGCATCATTGCCTGTTGCTGCTGTAACTGAAGTTGCTGCTGCTTGATCAACTCCTGTGGGGTCAGCAAAGAGCTGGCGTCTCCTAGTTGCTGCTGCAGCGGAGGCGGCAAGGGCTGTTGCAGCGGTTGAGGCAGTGCATGTAGTGGTTCCTGCAATGGGGGCTTTACCTGCTGGTGTACCGGCTGTATTACCTGTTGCTGAGTCGGTTGCTGCAGATGCTGCTGCAATGGCTGTTGCAGAAGCAGCATTGTCGGATCTCCCCCAGGATGTAGTCGTACCCGTGCGCCCAAATCGTGACCTGTCAGGGATTTGGTAGCACCTACCACGGGCCTCTTTGAGAGCGACGAGCCCGGAAGTGCAGCCGCAATGGGGCTAACAGAAACAGAAGGTTCCGCATCTGAACCTGCTGTAGCTAGGGCTGAAGCAGCACCAGGCACAATCATCGCTTCATGACTGACAGCGACTCGCAGGCTGTCACCTGATTTTGCCGTCGCTGGGTTGAACTCCTGCCATTGTTGGTGTTGCTGATCCGGTTCCCACTGGTCATCGTGAAGGGGCATTTTATCCCCTGCTGCACCTTCGCGCTGAAGATCTGGTGAAAGGCTAGAAAGATCGCCGTCTAACCAATGCACTTGGTGCGACTTCCCGTGTCTAGTGTTGCCGCTGCTGCTACTAGTGCTGCTGCTACTAGTGCTGCTGCTACTGCCGCTGCTGCTGGGAAGAAGTTGGATCAGCCCGTCAACTTCATCTTCATCACCACTATCGTCGTTGTCAACGCCGTCCTCACTATCCTGTTCTCTCTTTCCGCCAAAGGTAGCTCTTGCTTGCAAACCAACCTTCATCCCTCCCTCCGCATTGTGCGGCATTTTGTCTACTGTACCTGCCTGTTTTTCTTCTGCTTCCTCCCCAAAACTGGCTGCTAAGTGCAAGTTCCCTGTCTTAGCTTCTAAACTCTCTGACTCCTCAGGCTCACCCGCCTCCTCTGGGTTTCTGTCTTTACCGGGCGTACTTTCGTCATCGCCTTCTGTACCCCGTCGATGTGTGCTGCTTCCACCAGCTCCACTACCTATTTCCGTTGGATCTCCCGGCACGGCAGTCTGCTCCAACTCCGCCTCAGGAAGGTCTACAGGTTTACCAATCGGTGAAGTATTCCACCGAATGTCTTTCTTCAGAGATGCAGTGGTGGCTGTTTTCTCTGGTGCCAGTTCTGCTGCGCCGTCTGCTACAGTGTCCGCAGATGTCCGAGGCTCCCAGGCGGATGAGGCAGCAGATCTGCCATTTGCTGTCTCGCAGTCGTGGGGCAGTGCACCTGCATCTGCGGCAGATGTATCTGCCTTCTCTTCTGAAGTTTGTTTATTGTCCCCGTTCACGAAGCCAGGCAGAAGCGACGGCTCATTCCCCGCTGCAATCGCTGGTTGCGCCCCTGCTGATGCTGTACTCAGTGCTATTGCTGGTGAATCCGACTCCTGCAGCGTTGCTGTCTCCGTATCGGCCTCATCATCGTTTCCTAGATGGCGTTGTTCGCGATGCAGTTTCTGTACTTGCTGCCCCTTCTGATGCTGCACCACCTGCTGCTGTGCACCGAGATGCGGGAGGCCGCTGCTACCTTGGTGCTCGGACTCTAGTTCAACAAGGGATGAAGACGCAGGGGCTGCAGAAGCAACTGTAGCTCTACGAGAAGGAAGCAAAAGGTATGACAACGGTTGCTGGTGCTGCGAGTAGAGCTGCTGTTGCTGCCTGGTGGGAGAAGTGGCTGAGCCGCCAAATGGAGACAGCACAAGCGGTGCAGCAGCAGTGCGGTGCAGATACACCTGCTGGGCAGAAGGGAGTGGCCGAGCTGGCGGAGTTCCCGGATGCAAAGGGGCTCTTGTGGATCCCGTCCAATGCTGTTGTCGATGCAGCAGTTGCTGCTGTTGTTGCCGCAGCAGCTGCTGCTGTAGTTGTTGATGCATAAAGGTAGGGGGTGCTGTCGTTATGGCCGCACCTTCCGCATGGCGAGAAGCATCTCCAATGTTGTCGTTTGCAACTTCTGACCCAACAACAGCAGCGGGTGGGGAACTGGGGGCTAAATGTAGCGGCATGACTCCTGTGTGGTATTCCGCCGGCAGCATCGACGTCAGAGCAGAAACAGGAAGACGTGCAGCACCAGACGGAGGAGGAGGAGCAGCAGAAGGCATAGCAACCGAAACCGAAACTCCATGGGATACGGGGTCTTCTGGCATCTCCGCTAAAAGCCCCTGGGGAATCCACCCATTCGGTTTCTCGTCTCGTTGCTGCCGCTGCTGCTGGTGCTGGTGCTTCTGTTGAGGATTTTCTGTTTCAGAAGCTGTTTCTCCCTTCAAAAGGTGCCATAGTGGGTGGCCATAGTGTTGCTGCATCTGCTTCTCTGGCTGATGCAGTTCCCTGTGCTCCTCCTGCATTTGCTGCCCCATCAAGAAGATAGGCAGAGCCTCTGGCTCAGACGAACCCGGGTGCTGCTGCTGCCTTTTTACGGGATGTATAGAAAGAGGTGCCCCCAGTGGTCGCACACCTGCAGCTGCCAGATCTAGTTCGCGTTGTTGCTGTTGTTGCTGCTGCTCGTTTAGCTGGCGCTGTTCCCTCGTAAGCAGCAGTACTGCAACGGGCAGAAGCGGCAGCAGCACGAGCAAGACAAGCAGAAGCCCAGCAGCCTGTACCGCTGATCCATGGCGGAATCCAGAGCGGAAGAGCATGCTGTTGCTATTGCTGTTGCTGCCGCCCTTGCTGCCCCTCTAGTCGTAAATACTACGGCTGACTCGCTATGCAGTGGCTAGTCAGGCACCTGCTCCCCTATCGTTTGGCTGGCCCGCTGCACTGTGTCTAGAGTCATTCCCTTGTTTTGGGGTATCCAGCTAGGTGAATGCAGCAACCAGAACAAACAAGAACTGAGTGCTGCTTCCTTGAGGCTCCATTTCCAAATCGAATGCAGACAGCCGCGGCGGGCAGGGTATACACACCCAAGTCCTTCATATAAAAAGGACCACCCTAATAAAACAGAAAAGTGAGAGTAAGGGCATTAGCATTAACGGTCTACCTTTTGCGACACATCGCCTGGACTGCTGGGGCTGGCGGTCGTGTCGGACATATGAGTCGCTGGTCCGTTCAAGTATACAGCACTATCTTTCTGGAAGTTATTCATTAGCAAAGCCTTTTAGCTTTGCATCTAACCTTTTGGGAATTAAGCAACACACGGCAGTAATATGTTTCAGATCGAACGCTATCACCCTCCGGTGGTGGCACCGGGGGCCGACTGCAAAAGAGGGTAAATACGGCCGGAATAAGGGAATAGTATATATGAAATCACATAAATATATATTAAACAATTCGAACTATTCCGTATAATTGATTTTGAGTTGCACTTTTCGACTGCTGTATGTACACTTTCACCTGGGCTACCCATCGGCTGCGCACGCCACCGCCAGGCGCATCCCATCCGTCTGATGCCAGCGCTCGTTCCAGCTGTCTACGTATGTGGGAGGGGTGTAACTCACTACATTTTTGATTTATTTGTTTTCATTCACGTTTTTAATCATTTGCTACCCATATACTGGTGAAAAGATGAAAAAAGCAGCTGTGAGTTCGGGGGGGCGTCCCACGTCCTTGCTGTGTGGGCTGCTGCGTGTTTTAAAACGTGTTCGGCTTCAATGTGTTTGTAATAAACTGCTTCGTCCGTTGAATTCTGCATATTGTTTTATATGCTCTTCACGTTTGTTATTCGTGCTGCAAGGATTCCCGTCTGGGTTCATGCCGTGCACCGTTAGAACTAGAAATGCAATTGTCGTCGTCTCAGAAACTCCACTCTGTGTGTACTTGCAGTTCTGCAGTGTCCTGTTTTTAAGGGCAGCCACGGATGTCTTGCTTCCCTAGTTGTGTTGATGTGTCATTACTCAGCCCGTCTTCCTTGCGGCTATCTTTGCCCTAACAGCCTCGCTGAGGGCAACGGCGGACCCTGTAAAGGTGCGTTCCCCGTAGTTCGTTTTCTTTGTATTTGCCCCGTGCCCCGTGTGTTGCTTGACTGTGGGGGTGCAGTGTAACTGTGGCATCTTCAGGAGGCGCACATGGAGATTGCCATTAACGACGAGTCCATCGGGTTCCTGAACTTCAATTTAAGGCCGGATGTCGTGCCCAAAACTGTGAAGAATTTCGTCGGTAAGGTTCCACTTGCACGGGTTGTTTTGAGCGTAGTGGGGTACTGTTTGGCTGCTATGTATTTGGACCATGTCCTTTCATGCAGTGTTTGGCGGTAAATGTAGTACTGAATGGCTTGCGGTGTGTAGATGAACATGTGTGCATTGCGCCTTCTCTGTGTCAGATCTCCTACCAAGATACAGGGGGACGCTGTTTCATCGAATCATCCCCGATTTCATGGTTCAGGTCAGCAACCGTATATCGCCAGTTCCAGCTTTTCGATTATTGTACCCGCAGTTGTCGTGTACTTGGCGGAGCCGTCATTTTGACCCGAATTTCTCGTGCTTTTTCACCTTGGTTGTGTCTTCAGGGAGGGGATGTACAGAGGAACGTTTTACCAGGTGCAGACACATCCCCCGTGCCATCTTTCAATGATGAGAGCTTCGAGCTAAAACACGTCGGTCCAGGCATTCTCTCTATGGCAAATGCCGGTAGGTGATCTGTCTGTCGGTTTAAAATATGTTGAGTGTTGGGGATGGAACGGCTGCCCAATACAGCACAAGTTCCGAAGGCCTCAGTGTAGTGCAGTCTGGGGGCGTAGATCAGCGCTGCAGAGTGCCACACGAGTGTCGGGATTACTGCATGGAGAGGCGGTGGATCCAGTCTTGTTTACGATGCATCTTAGCACTGCTTGAAGCTTTCAGAGGACGGTGTTCTTGCAGCAGTACAGGATATTCCTTACGTGTTACGCGTCTTCCAGGTCCAAACACGAACAGCTCACAATTCTTCGTGACGACTGTCGCTACTCCTTGGCTGGACAACCGTCACGTCGTCTTTGGCAGCGTCACAGATGACTCCATGGAGGTGTTGAAACGCATTGAGGCAACAGGAAGTTCCTCTGGCCGCCCCTCTGCCCAAGTGACCGTCAAGTCATCTGGAGTTGGTCACAAACCGAACTCTAGCTGAATGGACTAACGTTATTGAACTGTAATCGTGCATATTAGTTCATCCAAGCATCTTCACAGTACAAAGCATAGTAGGAGGTGCCCTCGGCGAACAGAAGCTTCGGGGAAGCTACTGCAATTCAGTAGGCCTTCGCCAAGGGGGCGAGAGGAAGGTTAGCTTTGGCGCTTCCTGGTCAGAATTGGGAATCGCCGTTATATCGAATAAACGAAAACATTCCGTTTTTGGCGCTAACGGCGCCTCATTATGTAAACCCCACTCTGGTTGTGTAGCTTTACACCCCCTAATAAGTATAGTTAACTGTAACAAGTGGCATGTATACATGCCTATGCATATATCAACGGAATGCGCAGAGGATACTAGGCACGAGTGTTTGTGTGGGCATTCTCTGAGACCTAGGGAGGAGGACTGTCTCCGACACTGGCAGCAAGGCAGCACGGTTGATTCGGAACGAACTGCTGCGTGCAAGTAGGAGGATACAATGCTGTGGGATGCAAGTATGCAAGTAGCCCCTGATGCTTCTGTGATGCAGCTGGATGGCATGTAAGGGGCGCATGAAGATGCTTGGATGAACTTACATGCACGATCACAGTTCGGTAACGGTAATCTATTCAGCTGGAGTTCGGTTTGTGACCAACTCCATATGACTTGAGGGGCGCATGTTTTCGCTCTTCGGGAGCAAATGCTGTGTTTTTAAGCCTTTCAGTGACACTCCAGAAACCTCGTTTGAGTGCTACAGAGGTGTGTTGCGTCTGCATTCAATGCATTGCCTGCATGTCTTTGCAGAACATCTTCCCCATTCTTGTAAAGATCACCGGCAGGCGGAGATTAGAGTGGCCACCGAGCACGTGGCAGGTCTATCTGTAGCATAGTAGTTGCCTTTGGTTGCAGCAGCCTCTTCTAACATACCACATGGATGCGTTCTGCACAAGCATATCTGCATATCGTTCAAAATGCCCCTGTGTCTGCGGGAAGAAGCGCACAGGGCGCACTCCGACTGTTGGTTGGCGTTGAACGGGCGAGCGCCGCCAACAGGCAACCCCACAAGCTACGGCGTGGGAGTCAATTGGAGGCACTGTAACGGAACAACGCGCAGTACACAACAGGGCCTAATGATGCATTGTTATAGTCCATGCAAGTTTTTCGTCTTCTTACCTTTCATTCTTAAGTGAAGCCTTCGTCATTGAGTGTAGAGCAGTGGCTGCTGTCCCATGGGTTCGAAACGCTTCGAGTGCTGTTGGAATGCTTGGTACATATGGGACGTTTTAGTGTGCAGGGGTATCTCCAACGCGCGTGTATATACGTAGGAGCTGCTCATGCAGCACACTGGCTGGGATGCCTCCAGGAAGCACCCCGTTCCCCGAGCTCGTGCTAATACAGGTCCTCTAGGAATTGTGTCGTGTCACAGTGAACAAGGATCATACACGCTTATCTGTAAAATAGATAACGTAGGCCTTGCAGGGAGGCGCGGCAAATGATTACCGCTGGGTCTACTAAGAAGATTCCAAGTTTTGCGCTAACCATTAATTAAATTGTCTTGTCAACGGCCTATACAAAGGAACAGAAGCCAGAAGTGAGACGTAAATTTGGTCTGCCTGCCCGTCTTTGCAGCTGTCCTGAGAGCTGTTTTCCCTGCAGCAAATCTTGATTGTTGTCTATCCTGCATATCAACTGGTTGGTTGCTGCTCCTGAACACTCCGCCACTTCCAAACCAGCGGTCCAACTTTTACCGCGCCTCCCTGTAAGCGCTACGTCAGCTACGTCTTTCGTAGGGTTCACATGCGTTGCAGTTGGCAATGCTTGATAGAATTCTTGGGCTATCTATTCCTCGCTTTCGTGTAGTTGGTGCAGTGCAACCACTGCAGAAATGCACACGTGTTATGCGAAAAATACGCCGAATCGGCACGCTGCTTTGAGAAGAAGCAGAACGTTGTGACACAATTCGACAGTCTCTTAAGAATCCACAGGACTGTCGGATATTGGTTACTGACTCCCACCGTCCCCATGCTGAGAGCTTACAGTCTGGTTAGCTGCACGGGCAGTGCAAGGGCAGGAAACAAAGTCTTTGAGCAAAACCCGTAGCATACGCAATGCCGCCCATCTCGACAGCTGTAGGCAAATAATGGTAACACAGAAATATACATGCACGGAGTAGCTGCTTTCGTATGCGGCTGCTTCCGAGTTTAACAAAATTTCCTCAGCATATATCGGCTTATACACAGGCCAAAAGGGTGTACCTCCAAAATAAGCTTTCGCATAGCACCAGAAGATGAGAGCAGAAGGCCAAGGACCCTCTAGCTACGATGGCTGCCGATGGTCTACGTGGTTGGGAAACCCCATGAGACTGTTGTATGTCAATATTTCCGACCCCCATATAGGCACCAAAGAGTCCCATTGGTGGTGTCTTCCGGAGCAGTAACTGGCGTAAATGATTCTGGGCACCGAGTGCTCTTTCCATTTTCGGTAAGTTACATTTCCCTTTGGCATCGAACGATGACGGAAAAGCGGTATGCACCGTAGAGCTACCTTGGCAAGTGATGCTCTGTGAGGTCAGGAAACTCCATGAGAATTCCCCAGGCCGTTATTCTTGTGCCTCTAACAGGATGCAGCAGCCTGAGAATGAGTTGTACCCATCGGGGGGGGCAGTTCGCTTCATTCAGTTCAAGTACAAGTTCTACAGGATCCACTTCACTGTCGATGAGGTATTTGGACATTTTCAATCCGTGCTCTGCGTAGTCGGCTTCATCTTCTGTGTACGGGACGCTGCCGCCTGTGAACAACTCGTAAAGGAGCATTCCTAGGGACCAAAGGTCACTATTAGCCTGGGGAACAGCACTTTCTGCATACAAGTTTTCTTGAATTCGCAGGGTTGGCTCTACGTGCTTCCCAGAAAGCCTTATGTGTACTCCAATCGCTTGCCCGAAAGGAATGCAACTATCGAAGCCACCCAAAAGAAATGAGCCGTCTGGAAGGGCATATATGCTCGTCCAGTCAAGGTTATTGTGGCTCAGTAGTGCCTGCTGCAGTTTAAGAACTGTTTGCACCAAACGACGACCCATGTACTCCTTTGCATGCATAGAAAGGTTGGCTGTAACGAGAGAGCCAAAGCGGAATTCTCCGTGCAGCCTGCCGAAGATCTGCACACGGCTGAAGAAGTAGAAACCCCCGTGCAATGTAACCTTGGGCATGTTTGCAAGATTGCCGACAAACAAAGGAATGGCAAAGCCTTTCTGCTTTGCCACCAAATGAGCCGGAATGCCGCATGACGCCTGTCTTGCAATACTCTCCTCCGAGTCCGCCCAGCGTTGCGCCGAGGCCAAAAGTTTCGCTTCTTCTATGACACTCTGAACGCCTGCTGCAGAAAACACTCGCATCCGCATTGAATACATATTCCCAGTTTCTGTATCCTCTACTTCCATCACTATACTCGGATACCCGACGCTCAGAATTCCTCTTATAAGCACTGAGCGTGGTGCGTGCGTGGTTTCTTCCCCGTTGGGCTTTATTGGCTCAACTTCACGTAGAGTGATAGCAATCCCAACCAAATTGTCCATCGTTCCTGCTGAAAGGACACTGGCAGCTTTTCGTGCGATTGTATGTGAGAAAAGGCTGGTTTCAGGCTTGCTCGAGCACGACTCGCGCAGTAAAGTAGCAATTTCCTCCTTGCCGCGTTTCAACTCAGGCGGCAGCGTCTGCTCAAAATGATGAAGGAACGGTAAACCCCATTGATCGTAGGGCGGCAGCTGCGATGCGGGTGAAAGAGTAGCATCGTCCACTTCGGTGGCTCCCGGTGCAACTTCATCTTGGACGGGGCCCCGTGCCAGGGACGGTGGAGGGGGAGGTGCCTCCAAAAGAAGCTGCTGCTCTTTGTGCTCCCTTAAGGGAGAAGTATGAAATGGGAAACTGCGCCGAATCCGTTCGAGAGGCAGCTGTGTGCCTAATAATACACCGGTTATGAATGCCACGATTACACATGGGAGAAAAACACGCCCCAACCCCTCCGTCGTAGACTTGTTTCGCCTACCAGATGAACCCTGCTTGCCACCTGAAGAAACCCGGTCCTCTGAACTAGACAACCCACTTTTGGGTGTCACAATAGCTTCCGCTTCTACCGCTTCCTGGCCAACGTTCGCTGCAAGACGAGGCTCGAGTGGCCCATCCATCGCTGTCCACACAAGCACGCTACACTACCAACCTTGGAGCAAACAGCACTAAATCGGCATACAACAGAACTGCCTGAATGAAAGTGGTTACAGCCTTATAAGCCGATATCTCCCTTGGGTTCGTCGCAGCTCAGCCGCCCCATGCTAAACGCCGGACTAGAACAGACCGCTGGAATGACCACGGAACAAGAAAGTGCTGTGCCCTAGAAGGTACAAAGGATTTAAAACACTCTTAAATGAAACTCTTCAGGTTCAGCATGTGGGAGCTACGACAGAGGAGAGGCAGCCAACCGCAAGGTTGCCACGAAGCACTTTCCAGAAGGCTCGGGATTCCCTGGGACCAACGTTGCACCGCTCGCCCTCTTCATAGAACACATGCACGTGTTATGAACAACTGTTCCACTAAATGTCTGCAACAAACGACAGGCCTTTTAGAGTGCCCTGCAGAAAGTGTTTTATCATATCAAATGTAACCGCCTGCTGTGGCGAAGTCGTGTCTTGGCCTTCCTCTTAGGTTTGATAGGCGGGAAGCCCCCACTGCCGGGCAGCATGCTTCAACGAGGGATTCTCCCCTGAAATAAAAACCTAACTTATCATGGTGCCTTACTTTCAATAAAATTAAGATGTATGTTCATTAGGGCACTATTGGGGAGGGGGGAAAAATCGGGAGTTGCGCAAAGTGGGACGGTCCGGCCACTGGTGTAAAGCAGAGTGCATGGCACTGCTGTTCTAAAGGAGGTAAGTACCAAGTGTACTGTAACATACACAGACTGGATAAAGAAAGCCACGAAGGCGTCTAACAACTACATACAGTTTTAGCCACTAAAGCAAGGAGGGCATGGTTTCGCCTGGAAGCAGGGTTGACTAGCAGCAAACTCTCATACAATCCATCGCGCGCATTCCCTTCTACACAGTCTACAGACCCTTGATCGGCTGTCTGTGAGGAGTATGCCTAAGAGCTGGATGTATATTTAGCTGCTGCTATTCTTATCGGGAGTCTTACTCTACCGCATGTCGCTGCGAATCAGCGAGGGCCCTCGCTTCAGCCAAGAACTTCCATAAGGAATGCTGCGACTAGTGGCAGGCCTTCGTCTACTCGCACTAGTGGCAGGTACCTATGTAGCTGTGCGCAGGGCTCATTGAGGCTACAGGGGCTGTCAGCAATTTTTGTGAGGTTCGTGTGTAATGTATATCCATTATAATGGAGCCAACTGCGGTGTCAAGCAAGGGTCAATGCCTATCATTACACAGCTAACGTGCGTCCAGGTTCAAGCCGCCTTTCGATACATCGAAAGTATCCGATGGAATTGTTAATCGCTTATTCGGTTTTTAGTAGGCAGCATGAGGGCAGATAAATTGCATTAACCAACAACTAACAGAGCCTCCTACATTACGGAAAACCCGTACAAGCCCACCCTGCACCCCACGAGAGGGATGCAATCACGCCTAACATTCTTGCCTCTTCTCACCAAGAAGGCGAAATTGTGCAACTATCAAGGAAAACGTGTAAAAGCAAAACCCCCACGGTTATCAATTCACTTGCACTCGCCATCAACAACAAATTTTATTGCGTTGAGGCCTGCCAAGAATTACTTACGCGTCACGTTGTCCTAAAGTTTACCTTTCTTTTAGTTATTGTTTGTTGACTAGACCGAATTCATCTGTGCAGTGGCAGGTGGTTACGGTCTGTACTTTTAGCACGGAAATAATGCCATGCTTCGGAAGTTTGTGTCTGCAGTGTATCATCCATTGCTTGCTTTCAAAGCATTGTGTACACCTATTTTCATTTGCTTCTGCACAACAAGCGCGTCTGCAGGACCATCGGAGTTGCCGGGAGTGTTGATGTTAATACTGAAGAATTGCATGTTTCTTCCCTTCTCTCTTTTGGTAGCAAATGCTTTACATGCAGAGTGACTTATTTACTAAATTGTTTTGTGGTTTTGCGTTGAGACCCTCTGAATTGTGATGATTGGTGAGCTACGTTCTGGCGAGGGGCAGAGAGGAAAAGTTCCTTACAAAGAAGAATGTTCCCACCTACAGTGGGGGAGAAAAATCGCCCACAGACATATCCGGGAGAACGTGAGGAGGGCCCGTCGCCTTCCTATTCAGTAACCACCGTACCTCCTCCACGTCCTGAAGGCCAAATGCTCGTTTACCACATGTGGAGTTCGGCAACGCTTGATCAATATGAGGAAACGGTGCCTCCAGATGTGGAGCGAAGTAAGGAGGAAATTGCAGCCTTCCTTGCAATAGGCCCTTTACGATATATTTAATATCTGCAGGGAAACCGTACAAACTGTCCTTTTTCGCCATAATGTTGTCGAAAGACTCGTCTAACGCACTCCTTGATTAAATTGACCATACACTTGACAAACGTGGCGTCACTGCAGTATATGAAGGAGGGTGGGCATCTGCCTTCCCTCTTTCACCTAAATGAAGCCCTAGGCAGCGGTTATTGAGCCACAGTAGCGGAAGTCGAGGATACAGATACCGATGGTCTGTTTGCTATGTGCATTAACCTGCACAGGCTGCACAGTGGAAGAAGCTCGCACTCTGCAACTGCAATATCATAGGCTAACAGCTTTCCAAGCAGCATCACGGTACTCGTCTAGACGTTTGGGGCCGTCTTTGCCCGTGAACACCGAACTTGGCAATACCTGAAAAACAACCATCGTCATCGAAGGGGACGGACGTTACCTAATGTTACAAAACTCGAAATGACTCGGAAAGCTCTGCCTGCTGCTTTCCGGGCAATCGAATGTATAGAAGAGCAAACTCAAGCTTGCTGCAAGCACTCACAGCGCGTGCTTTTGCACTTGTGTGTGCGCACTTCAATACGTGCCTACTTCCACGCATTTAGCGCCCTTCGTAATTGTGAGCGCGTTGCGGCGTACGCTGCGCTGTTTCACGCCTAATCGGCACACCGCCACGTGGGTGTATTCCGTAAAAAGGAAACAACACCGCTACCAATTATCCTGCCAATGGCAGCTGTTGCTGCTCAGCCAACGGTTCGCAACTGGCCGAGCAGGATTGTTGAAGCGGTCGGCGAAATTTGAAAATTTTGAAAACACCAATGCCGCAGGCCAGCAGAGGAAGAATAGAATAGCCTCTGCTCAACACCTTCCGGCTTCCAACGTTTCCAGGTGCGACATCAGAACCTCAGAATAAACAATTCTTTCAGCACCTTCCCCCATATTTCCGCTTGCTGTTGTGGCCAGTAATCGCTTCCCGTTTGAAGCTGAAAGAGAAGATCCCCGATGCCCTGCACTTCTGCCCTAGCTTCAGAAACTACGTAGTATCAATGTGTCACAGAGCACATGGTTCTCGGTACAATAACAAAGTGTCTGCATGCCGTTTTTCCTGTCTCCAGACAAAGCGCCCGGAACAGAGTCCGCCAAGATGGAAAAGCCGACGCCATGTAGGAAAAGGGGCTCAAAACTGAGTTGCAGATGGCCAGTTCCTGGAAGCTCGGCATCCAGAACTATCTGCAAGAAACGGAAGGCGATGCGCCCTCGCGCTTTTCGCTTGATTTCCCTTTACCCGTATCCAAGACGAGTTCCCCCACAACCTCGTCCATCAATGCTGCAGTGCAATGAATGGCAAGATCAACTACCCAATTTATATCATTGAGACCTGATATTTGACAAGTATACAATGCGACTGCAATCTCCCTTTCAGAAGCTGCAAACTCAGTAGGATGCTGCCACAAGCCTGCAGAACTGACTGCATTACCTCCACAACTGCCTCCCACAGTAAACGCTGTAACTCTTCTCCCGTCCCAGCAAACGTGGTCCTACTCGTGGTGGGGATGCTGGCGCAATCTCCCTGGAACCTGCGCCTGTCGAAATAATCATTTAGGACAGACTGGGGGTCGATAAGGTCAGGAAATTCGCGCACAATTTCGTCGCCAGTTATCCGGTTATCACTGTGTGGCTCCAGCAGGCGCAAAATAATGGGCTGCGTTTGTATTAGTACAGTGAAGACTGTCGTGGGGCTAATATTTGTGCCATTCCTTCAGTCACGTGTCCGAGTTCTAGAACATAACATGAGCAGAAAGAGCGGGAACGCAAGCTCCGGCAGACTCAGGAGAACGTGAGGAGATCATGTCACCCTTATCTTCAGTAGGAACCGTACCTTCTACGGGTCCTGAAGACCCATTGCCCGTTTATGGCATGTGGGGTTTGCCTATATTTGCTCAGTTTGAGATAACGCCGCCTCTAGATGCGAAGCAAGGTAAAGAGGAAATTGTAGCCTTCCTTGCAAAAGGCCCTCCAAAAGATTAGTCAATATCTGCATGAGAATCTTACGAAATGTCCACTGCTGCCCGAATACTGTCGAAAGGTTCATCCGTCGGAGTCCTTGATTTGATTTAGCATACTCTTGACGAACGTGGAGCCACTGCACCGGATGGATAAGGCTGGGCACCTGCCCCACCTCGATCACATAAAAGCAGTACTAGGCAGAGGTTACTCAGACACACGTGTGGAAGTCTGGGATATAGATAACGGTGATGTTTCTGCAATGCTCTGCAACCTACAGATTCTGCACAGTGGAAGAAGCTCGCGCTCAGAAACTGCAATATCCTAGGCTAACAGCCTTCCGAAGCAGCATCACTGAACTAATCTACACGTCTGGGGCCGTTTTTGCCCACGAACATCGAACGTGGCAATATCTGAAAAACAACCGTCGTCCTCTAAGAGGACGGACGTTACCTAACGTTGCAAAACTGGAAATAACTCAAGCTTGTCGCAAGCACTCACAGTGCATGCTTTTGCATCTTGTGTGCGCACGTCAATACGTGCCTATTGTCACGCAATTACCATCCTTCGTAATTGTGAGCGCGCTGCGGTGGACGCTGCGCTAGTCCATGGCTAATCGGCACACCGCCAACGGCACGCTGGCCAACAAAAATCCATGGCCTTACCAAATACCCTGCCGATGGCAGCTGTTGCAGCTCAGCACACTTTTCATAACTGACTAAGCAGGATTGTTGAAGCGGTCGGCGAAATTTGAGAATTTGGAAACCACGAATGCCGCGGGCCAGCAGACGAAGAATAGGATCTGCTCAACACCTTCCGGCTTCCAACGCTTCCAGATGCGACCTCAGAACTTAAGAACGAATCCCTTCTCTCAGCACCTGCTCTCATTTCCGCTTGCTTTTGCCGGCAGTAATCGCTTCCCGTGCGAAGCTGAAAGAAAAGATTCCCGATGCTCTATATTCTTGCTGTACCTTCAGACAGGAAACTACGTTTTATCAAAGTATCACAGAGCACACAGCACTTCGTACAGTGACAGAGTGCCCTTCAACCTGTTTCTCTTCTGTCCAAGCAAAGCGCCCGTGCTAAGGCCCCCCAATATGGAAAAGCCGTCTTCACGCAGGAGATGAGGCTCAAAACTGGGCTGCAGATGGCCGATCCTTGGAAGCTCGACTCCCACCACTATCTGAAACGAACGGAAAGCGATGTGATCTCGTGCTTTTCGCTCGACCTCCCTTTACCCGTATCCAAGGCAAGTCCACCACAAACTCGCCCATAAATGCTACAGGGCAATAGAAGGCAAGATTCCCTACCCAATTTATATCATTGAGACCTGATATTTGACAAGTGTACAATGCGACTGCAATCTCCCTTTCAGAAGCTGCAAACTCAGCAGGATGCTGCCGCAAGCCTGCAGCACTGGCTGCATTTCCTCCACAACTGCCTTCTCGCCCGTAGTCATCGCTCTTCGCCCCTCCCAGCAAACCTGGTTCTACTTGTGGTGGGGAAGTTTGTGCAAGCTCCCTGGAAGCTGCCCCTGCCGAATTATTCGTTTGCGACAGATTGGGGCTTGATGAGGTCTGCAAATTGGGTCATAATTTGGGAGCCAGTTATCCTGTTAGCCCTATCGGGCTCCAGTAGACGCAAAATAAGGCCTCCCCACCTCAGTGGGAATTGCTTCTGTTGCAACTGCGGGACTAGAAATTCAGAACGTATCCCTTCTTTCAACAGCCGTTGTGCGAGTTTCTCTGGTTGATCGCTCCACTCCGCCCCCCCCAGCTGTTCGTAGGGGTGCTCAACGCCTCCGTAAAGCTGAAATAGGAGAATCCCGAGACTCCACAAGTTTGCCTGATCATCAATAATAAGTTTATCGGACTCTGCATAGCGAGTCATAACAGTAGGTTCTAGATTCAAGCTCAGACGGCCGCTTAAGCGGGCTTTCTGCTCTCCAACAGGGGCACAACTTCCGAAATTTCCCAACAGAAAAGAGCCGTCTTCACGCAGCCAGAGGGACTCCCAAGCAAGCTGCGTATGGCCAACTCCAGAACGCTCAAAATTCAGCACTATCTGCAACAAACGATGAGCGATATAATTCAGCGCGTTTTCGTCCACTGTCCCTACAGAAAACGCACTGCCAAGGCTCCCCACAACCTTTTCCATCACTGCTACACTGCTAAGTACCTTGTATCCCCCAGCTTGGTGAATATTGTCCAACCCTAGTATTTGGCCAGTGTAATACGGGAGTGCTATGCCCTTCTGTGAAGCCGCCAATTTGGCTGGAATATTGCCACAAGCTTGCAGCATTGCCTTCTTCTCCTGCTCAGCCGCAACCTCCACATATTTCTCAATCCCATCCTCGATGAAGCTATACGCATCCGAATCCGAAATAACGGGGATACTGACGGAAAATTCCTTTTTGGTCTCTACGTCTTCGGCATTCACCACCAAATTCCAGCGGAAATAGCCCACTATGCTAGTTACGCGCAGCTCTTGGGGCAAATGTCCCTCTATAATGGTCCTGTTTAAAGGTTTCGTATTCCGTAGAGAAATTGTCATTCCAACCAGACTGCCCTTGGTGTTGTTCGAAAGAGCCCATGCAAGTGCACGCTGGTAAGGCCAAACCGCTTTATCATCATCATGGGCTCTTACTTTAGAAGCCAACGCAGCAAGCGACTTCTTGCCCTCCATTAGCGACGGAGAAAGCTCTTGTTCAAAGTGTTCAAGTGAACATAGTCCCCAATCGCCACGCTCCTGCCCTTTCCCCAGTAGGCGATCAGCTCTTTGCCAAGTCGAACTCATAAAGCTCAGTAAGCCACGAGAAGCTAGGGCTCTATGTACTGCAACTAGCAACACGAAACCTGCAACCAGTAAAAGCAAAGGCCGTTTGCCAACTTGTTTTCGCAATAAACTGCCGGCGATTTGTCGAACATCCAGTATCGAAGCGACTTCATTTTTTTCAGGATCGGGATCCGCCGAGACCGTCGTCTCAACGGTAGCTTCATCACCTTCCATATGTGGGTACGTAGAATTCCCTGGGGAATAAATATGCACAGGAAAAGGAATATGAAGCATTCTGCAGAATATTCACATGCGTGCATTTGAGCTGGGGCTAGGCAAGAGAGCATGCATCCGAAGCCGCGCTTGCTACGGAAGAGCTGTAACGACCATAGCCGCTTTATGCCGTATCCTCACTGTTTCACCCTCACATATTTTTCCAGTGGTTTACTGCTAATTATATATTGTTAGTGTAGAACAGTTAATGCCTGCTGCTTGGAAATCCGTTGCAGCCGCTTAGCACAGGAATTTGAAATCGGTGTAGCATCGTATGCGAGCTGTTGTTGGAAAGCGTGTCGGAAGTGGGCACACGAACCCCTACCCGGTTGCCTTTGACGAACGGTACGTAAGCTAATGGTCTCAGCAACTGTCTAGAGTGTTTGTGCATTCCAGGGAACTAAGCGTGTTTGTGCCTGTTTATGGGGCTCTTATGCACCTGAATTGCATTAAGATCCGTTGGAACCAGTGGCAGGCTGTCTCATCCCCCGCAGCTCAAGGCGCTTGAGCCGCTGACACTAGGACGTCTGCAACCTGGGGAAGGAGGCCAGCGGCCCTAGAGAAACTACAGCCTAAGTAGTTTGACTCCATTGCTTACAATAGTCATCGGATACGATCCACGACCCTACGTTATAGGGATGTCTTTTATAACGGCTTGCGTCAAGGCCTGTTTCAAGGGCACCGCTTCCCGTAGCACATCCGATCCGTAGAAACTTTCCGGCACGTGCTGTGATGTAGGTTCGATGATACGCCGGCATCGAAAAAAGGCCCTGGCGGTTCTGAGAAACCTACGGAAGGGAAGCTATAGATGGAGCATTATGTGGAGAAGCATCAGTCCTTGGTGAAGAGAACACCAAGAGTTTACTCGGGACTCTTGTACGTTCACCGCAGGGCTGCCCTCCGGAAGAATGCAATTGTTAGCTGGCGAGGTGGGGAGAACTACGTCTAGAGGTTGAGCTCGCTGAAATGAAAGAACGCTTAAGCATGAACCAAAGGGAATGCCAATGCCACGTTTACTGCTCGAGCAGCGAAGAAGGGGCAGCGATCGAGAGGTTGAGCCTACGAATGTTCAGGTTTTGAGCGCAGGCCTCACTCCCAGAGTGCGCAGTTGTAAAATCAGCGGACAAAAGGTTTGGATGACCTACCGACGTGCGTACCTGTGTGTTTTGCGAAAAACAAGACTACATAATTCAAGAATGAAGAAATATGAAGGAAGCGAGGGAGATGGGGGATAGTTTATTGAGAAGTGCCGCCAGGCAAATAAAGAAATCGAGTAGAGACACATCAGAAACTTCACCCAACGCTAAAAGTAGCAATGGGCCAAACGACTCTCCAAAAACACCCTCAGACCCTCCGCACGTTAGCTCTTTGCGCATCCAAACTCTAATACGTTACAGCCGTTGGGAAAGCAGGTGTCAGTCTAGACCCCACCTGCTTCGAGACGCGCAGTCAAGTAGAGCCTTGCTAAATGGCAAGACTCAACTGGCCAGCTACACGGGCACCTCCCACCAATTGTTGTTGGTTGACATGAAAGTGCATCCCGTGGGCGGACATCCTTCGAGTTGTACCAAGTGTGCTGTCGTTTGTCGTAGTCATGCTCCACCGAGGGTTGTTACGTGCAAACGGCTGGATGTGGAGATCTAATGATACCTAGACAGTATCCTATACTTCTTGCCTGTGACCTTTTGCGCAGGTTGCATGAAGCTGATTTGGAGAAGGGCAAGCAAATGGTCTCACATAGTTACATCCGTGCCTCTAACAAACCCATGCATAATACTGAACAAAGTATGAATTTTGTATGCATGGAATGACTTGTAGGGGAGTGAAGCTGGGTCGAAGAAACGGAGTAGGTGATCTCCCCAAAAAGGCACACCATGCAGGTTTGGGGTTGATGGTTTAACGAGTAGGGTGTGGGGTTCATCCAGCGGAAGGCTACTGGGTCAGGAGATCGATAATGACACTTATGTTCTTGTGTTCATGGATGCGCTGCCGCATCTTGCTGAGAGCTAGCTATCCACGGCACAA